AGTTAACCAAATCTGGCCCTTTGTAGCTGACCATCTTAAAATGCGAGGTATAGATTCAGAACATCTTATCAAGCTCCGTACTGACGGACGAGCAACACTCATATAGCCACACTTGCAAGGCTAATGAGCATCCCCGTATCAGATAAGAATGCACATGGGAATTAAGACGATGTCAGACAGATTCAATAACCTGCTTAAAGGATTTGATACCCCATGGGTATGACTCAAAATTACCAGACTCTATCAGAAAGAACATAAACTTGTCTATGAAAGACACATGGTCTTTATCAGAAGGACAAACAAAAAATTCCAACAGATAAAGAATGCACAACCTCACTGCATCCTCATCGTTTGCCCAAGCTTTATTTGTGACTACATTTTTCAAATGCCACTTTTCAACCCTTTGTTTGTTCGAAAAATAGGTAGTCATTAAATGGCTAACATAAGTGGAAGTGTAGCCATAGTCTGAAAACTTATTCACACAATTTAGACCAGTAATCAACCCAAATTCTCTCAAGTAAAAATTCAATTTTTCACCTATCAATAGTACTGAAAAATATGAGTCAATAGACTTTGACAATTCATACTTCATCAGAAGATGAATTGCTTGGTTTTGCATACTGATTGTGGGGAGACCAAATAAGTAACCAAAATAAGTTTTTTGGAAAAGCTTTAAAGCATTTGGAGAAAGTAAAGTTTTTATCTGGCTAGGTATGCTCGGATCACACAAACTATGGAATCTAAGCACACCATAATCAACATTTTGTGGTACAAAGTAATGGCCATTCTGCAGAAAATAAAAAATTATTGAACATTAGTAGTTAGCATAAAAAAGAAGCAGTAATCTACATATAACTACATGATAACTACAAAATATAACTAAAAGAAGAACAGCCTACCTACACCTATAACTACAAAACAATACAAGACATCTACACATATAAACATTATCTCAAAACAATAAGGAAGAAAAGGGTAACTACAACTCTATAACTACAAAAATATAACAGTTAGTTCAAGTAACTCACAAAATGTAGATTAATTGTAGTTAGTATGAAGGTAAATGTAGCAGCATACAAAGTAAAAAATATACCTTATCTACAATTTATCTAGCAGACTACAAAACAACTACAAAATGACTACATTTATGCACTGTCTAAAAATCACAATTACAATTAACCTACAAAATTGAGACAAACAATCTACAAAATTTGGACAATTCCACATTTTATCAAAAAACACTTGAACAACAGATTTTTACAACCAAAATCACACTAAAAACTGTAAAGAAAAATAATTAGTGTTTACCTTTACCAAAATCTTTTTGTGAACCAATTTTGTGAACCAATTTTCGGTTTTGATGAAGAAGGAGAGACCTTGGATTTTTTCACAGATGGAATTTTAAGGGAATGTTCAACAAAATCATCATCTACACACAACTCTTTGCCTTTTCGTTTGAGTTGTTTCTCGACTGGTTTATCACCTCCACCATCATCAACATCGTGCAAATGCTTGGTTCTCATCTCCGCACGGATTTGTCTAGGAGACGAAATACTAGTAGTAGGTTCACTTGCATGTGTCGATTTTGCGTTTTTGGGTGGTGATTTTGGTGTTAAAACACCCAAATCAAAGGATGGGATATCAGCTAATGTAGCTTTTGAAGCTTTTTTTTTTGGAGTGCTGATTTTTTTCATGATTTGGGACTTGAAAAAACAGATGCAACTTCAAAATAGGATTTTGTGAAATTTACTGGAAAAGAAAATTGTAGAATCGTGGGTAACTGATGGTAAACATGGGTGAGAGGCGAGTATACGAAAATGGGGGAATTAACTGAAGATAAAACGTGGGGGGGTGTGGGAGGTGGGAGGAGAGAGAGGCGGGTAAACGAAAATGGGAAAATATACGCTCCTAAATTAACGCCTAATATAATGAAGCATTAATTATACCCTTAATTTGAATTGTGGTATATAAATGGTAATTTGGTATGCTGAAATGTAATTAACACAATCCTTAAACATTGAGGGTAATAAGGTTTCATATATGGTATAGGAAGGTAAAATTCACTTTTCAATTTCCTTACAGTGCCTTGAATTTTAGGGTGAAATTAAAAAATAGCCAGATTTACAAGTGGTAATTAAAAAATAGCCACGGTTTTAAAAGTAATCGAAATTTAGCCATTTTTCATGTAAAGATAAATTTGAACGGAAACATTATTCAAAATCCAAAAAATATTCCAGCATAATATACTTATCCAGCATAATGTGCTGGAAGTTCATACAGAGGTGCTCCAATCGCCACTATATTATGCTGGAACTTTCCGTGTGTTAGAGTTCCAGCATAATATGCTGGGAGTTTATACACAGGTGCATCAATCTCCAGTATAATATGCTGGAATTTTTCGAGTTGCAGCAAAATAGTAGCTATTTTTCAATGACTTTGCAAGCGCGGACTATTTTTCAATTACCAGTCCCAAAACTGACTAGACCGTGCTATTTACGATGTGTTGATAAACAAAATGCCCTATTTTCTTATGGAGTACTTTTATTCATTTGTATTGATATCTAAAGCAATTTATAAATATTATTTTTTGGTGTACTTCCAAGTTCCTTGCTTGCATCTTTAGAAAAGGATATCATGAAATGGGATTCCTGGAATATATACATTGTCCAAGTTTAACAGTTCATATGCAGATGAGTAAGAATATGGTATCAGAAGAAAAAAAGAAAGGATGCCATTTATCTATACATATTCTCTTGAGTTATTGTTCAACTTTGAATAATCTTTCAACATCTTATTCATATTGACTATCTGTCTTGGGCTCATTCTCTGCATTGGAATATATGCATGTTCTTTTGTAAATGTGAAACAAGAAAAAAGGGGTTGTGCATTTGTGCTCTCATCAATGTGAATATACTTTGAAAAGTTCTTTCAGTTTCATTCACAAAATAATATACATATACTTCTCTATAAACAACATTACTAGCTGTAGGAATCAATGACTATATAGGGTAATAAGGAAAAAATAAAGTATAACAGCCTCATGCAGAAATGCAGGGTAAAGCTGCGGACAATAGATCCTTGCGGTCCAGCTCTTCCTTGGACCCCGCATATAACAGAAACTTAGTGCACCAGGCAGCCCTTGAGCTTATAAGCATATATCTATTAATGAAATTACCAAATACACTAACTATAGCCTTTGAAATTGCTCTACTTCCTTGTTGTTCAAGTCTATAACTTTTGGACCATGTTTATATTCATTTGGGCACTTATTCAAATCAATGGTCTCCAAAAATTCAATCTTGGCCAAATTTTCACTTCTTTGATTGTGGCATCTTTTACGAGATGGTTGTTCAACACATATATCATCACAAATGTTATTTCTTCTTCTCTTTTTTTCTTTAGTTTCTGGATTCAATGAGAGAGCAATAGAAGTATTCGTGTTCCGCGTATTATTCTGATCTTCTTTCCATCCTGAGCTCTCAGAAGATGTTAAAGAACTTTCAAGTGAACACAAGATTTCACCATTCAATTGTTTTCTCTCTGTATCTTTTGAAATTGAACCATCAATTTCTGTTATTGCTGATAATGGAGAAGTTGGACAACAACCCATGTTAACCATTGAAACTAATTGAGAGAGTTCAGCTTTAGCAAGTTCTACTCCAACTGAGGAAGTATCATATCCTGCTAGTGTTTCTTGTGCTTTCTTCAAAACTGATTGTAAATACTTGCCTTGAGCTTCCATCCTTAGTTGTAAATGTCTTTGTACCTAACATACATACAAATTTATAAATACACAACAACAACAACAAACAACAACAATAATGCATTAATCCCAAGCAAGTTGGGGTTGACTATATGAATCCTCACTAAATATATCGCACAATTTAAGCTCATCTCAATCAAATAAAAAGGTCAGCTTGGTGTACTAAGCTCCCGCTATGTTCGGAGTCCGGGGAAGGGTCGGACCACAAGGGTCTACTGTACGACTTACCCTATATTTCTGTAAGAGGCTATTTCCACGGCTGTTTCAATCAAATATTATACAATATAAAAATAAAAATTACAAGATTAAAAATTTGTACAGATGTGAGGAAATTAACTAGTTTTACGTTGATCGTTAGACTGCTACAACCCTCCTCTTTTATCTTGGCTCAGGACCGCTAACGTGAGTAGATTTCGCTGGTGTGAGCTTACTCACATTTCCGATTCCAAACCCGTACAAAGGAGGAGGTTTGCGGTAGACTGACACAACCAACATAAAACTAGTCAAATTTATGTTGGATCCTCATACACATAAAATTATGCACATGAACATAAGCTAATAATCATATTAGATAAATTTACCTCAATCTGTTGATGAAGTTTCCTCTGTACCTCCATTTGCATTTGTAAAGCTCTAGCTATTTTCCAACTCCTGACAAAAATTTTAACTAGTGAGATGCTGTTATTGCTTTGTTTTCTATATTACTTTATTGCATTCAATGGGAAACTGTCATTACTCATTCATTTGATTCTGAGCTCCATCACAATTGTCCAAAGATAACTTATCACTCTGAGGCTCTCTGAATTCTGCATCAAAATAAGTCCTCTGATTTAAGCCTCTTGAGATTTCATTTTCCTTTCTATCTTCAGGTACTATTGCAAACAACTTCAACTTACCTTCTTGTTTGTTGGCATCAAAAGATTGATCAGTGGCTTGACTTTTCCCAAGACGATATTTCTGTACAGCAAAAAGAGTACTAATCAATCAGTGAGTGTCTGCGTATATATACTACCCTCTCCAGACCCTACGGAGATTTTTACTAGGTTTTTTGTTGTTGTGGTTGTAACGTGACAATGAGACAATTACCTGCAAATGACTCTTGAGGTGATATAAAGTTAGCCCATGTATATTCATCACTCTCATCAATGATTTTGGTGTTGCCTCTGCATTGTCAATCAAATAACAATGTTAGAATCGATAACAAGACAGTTACACCTGTGTCGAATCCTCCAAAATTATGGAGGATTTAACAGGGTGCAACAATATTTTTAGAGAATTCGAGCAATAGTACTCACTCTCTGGACCTCCTAGTTGAGCGACTGCATCGACGAATCGTTGGTGGAGATCAGGAGTCCATTTTAATCTAGGCTTAGCATCACTTGACAAAATTAAGTTCATATCCTTATTTTGTTGTGCATTTTGAAGAGCCATTGTTTTTTCTTTTGTTGTTGTTGTTTTACAACTTACTAGGATAACAAGGTACAATATGTGTAGTGGATTGAAACATGGAAAAGAGGTTGTTTTGTGCCTAAAAAATGTGGGAAAACTAGTAGTATATATAATTGGGAAGTAGTTAAGGGTGTCCCATGTTGTTCTCACTCCATATCTGGAAACATATGTTGAGAAAGGAATATATGCCTTATGAGCTGTGGCCCTTCTTTTCTTCCCATTTCCCATTTCATATCAAACTTTTCCTTTATTTTATTTTCTTTTATTTCCAAGTAATTTTCTTTCTCTTTGTTTGACTTGAAGGGAGTCTTGGTGTAACTGGTAAAATTGTTGTCATGTGACCAGGAAGTCACAGGTTCGAACCGTGGAAATAGCCTCTTGCAGAAATACAGGATAAGACTACATACGATAGGCCCTTGTGGTTCGGTCCTTCCCCGAACCTCGCGCATAGCAGAAGCTTAGTGCACCAAACTTTTTTTTCTTCNAATTTTGGAGTGTCAAATACCTATTTTACCCTCTAAATTATAAATATTTATCTTCTTTTTATTTATTTTTTAACTTTTTTAACTTTTTAATATTATGATTTTTCCCTTTTTAATTTACATTATGGACTTATCTATAGAATAAATAAATATTATTTATAAATTAAAAAATAAAAAGTATTTAAGTATATATAATGCCGGAATAACAAAATAACGAGCATAGTAAAAAAATTAATTAGAATAATTTATTAGTAATAATAATTTTAGTATTAAGAACAAAAATTCAAAAAGTTATTTACACAATTCAGAATGAAAGAAAATAAAGGTTATAAAATATATATTCCATGCACGTAATATAAAAATAATTATTTCTTTACGTGCGTGAAATATATATTTTACAACCTTTATTTTCTTTCATTCTAAATTGTGTAAATAAATTTTTGAATTTTTGTTGTTAATACTAAAAAGTTTTTAAAAAAATATAAAGAAGATAAATGTTTATAATTTAGAGGGTAAAATAGATATTTGGTAATCCAAAATTTGAAAAATCTAGTTGAGTGACCTTCTGAGTGCAATAGGCATAGTTCAGTGACTTTGTTGTTACAAACAAAAGAAAAGTGACTTTAGGAGATAATTTTGGATAGTTGAGTGACTATTTGAGTAATTGACTCTTTTGTTATGCTAAGGCCGAGAAGTATCCAACATCAAAGGCATATTTGACCATATTGAGGTTCAACTAACATCACGGTTCTAGTCGTGAAAACCTCTGGTAGAAATATAAGGTAAGATTATGTGCAATAAATTTAATATGGGCCGAATCTCTTCTGGATCTCACACATAACAAGAGTTTAATACATCAAATTGTCCTTTTAAGGTTCAACTGAAACAAACATTTTCCTATGCAGGCGTATACACTATATGAAGGGTTAACTGAACTCAGCTTTACGCACACATAGCACAAATAAATTTGAAAAACATCACTATAATTTCAGAATTTGCATCTATTTGTATCTATTTAGTGATCAGTCCGCTAGTTTCTTTGCTCCCGCTCGATCTTCCTTTTCTATTTTCTTCCAATAGTTCGACCTATCCAGAAAAATTGTCGGCCTACAAATGTGGTTTCGATCCTTCCGGTAATGCCAGAAGTCGTTTTGATATAAGATTTTATCTTGTTTCCATTTTATTTATTATTCCTGATCCAACAAATAAAATTTTGAACCTCATAAAAAGTTTAATAGATTCAAAGATAAAAATATAAAGGTTAAACTCGTCAAATTCAACAAAATCAGTCTTTGAGTCTAGCTTCGTGCTTATATGATTGACACCATTCTTCATCCACCCACCAGCTGAGTACTGAGTAGCATGGGGTGGGTTTCTTTAATTACCTCTCTTTTCTTCTTTTTCCCTTTAATCAACACACGAACGTAGAAACTATTAAAAAGTTACATAATTCTTGTACTATATTGCAAAAAAATAGAAGATTAGTGTGATAAAAAGGAGGAAAAGAATTGGCTTTCTTAAAAGCTATAACCACATCCATTTGATCTATAAGTAACACAGTATAATGTATGCATAAAGCAAAAGAAAGAAGAGGAAAAGGGGAAAAAGGAGAAGACCAAAATGGCAAACAACAAATCATAAAAAGTCAATTAGATTAGATCAATCTTGTGATTTCTTGGGATGTGGTCAAGACTCTTAAGAAGAGTTCGATCGATTGGAATCGAAATCCAATGATTGAATTTCCAAAGTTTTGCCTTTTTAGTGCACTACATTCACTTGGTCTCCTCCATTTCTAAAGATTTTTCAGAGACTGAAAAATTAGATTCCAACCTATCATATAATAGCCCGCAAAGTTGGCTAAGTTGGTTGGATGAGTGGCTTCCTACATGGGAGATTTGAGATACATCTTCATACCAGCAGTCTTCTTAGTCAAAGCTTGTCGTACTGGACTTGTTTAGTACAGTTTATATTATTATGTCAAGGAAGAGGCAAACCCGAAAATAAAGAAAATAAAGAACACCAAATTTTAACGTGGAAAACCCTTCAAATCGAAGGTAAAAACCACGGGATCACAAAGATTCAAAAAGCTCCACTATAACAATAAGAGGGTTACAAAAGTTCTCCAAATTGGCTACACAACAAGTGCCAAACACGGAGCAACAATAGCAACAAAAGCAACAACTAATCAACTGAAGAAAGAGTATAATCCACAAAACGAAGCTGCTATTCGAGGCTCGAAATCAGATGCTACGAGCCTCCAAATTCAATCTTCGCTGTTCAAATTCAAGATCAAGATATTACAAACACTCAGTCAAAATTTCAGCCAGATCCAACGGTTAACGAATCGATAAACGTGATTTGAAGTTGGTTGGTTGGAATAAAAATCTGCAGTAAAACAAATACTTTTCTTCTCTCTTATCTCTTGATGAAAGCTCTCTCAAAAACCACTCTTATGTGCTTAAGTCTTTCAAAGACTTGTATCAATGAACATAGAATAATTCTCCAAGGTTGTCCTATTTATAGATCATGAGTGGTGCTTTCTCTTAAAACCAAAACCCACTCAAAATAGGAATAAACCGAATCCAATTCCATAGAAATGGAAACCAAAAGAGAATAGGATTAGACCATTGGTCTTTGCCCGGACAACATGGGCATGTGCCCAACATATATATCTTATGTAGTTTGCGAGCTATTACACAATAAGTAAGTTACTCAATGTGCACCAAAAAGATAACGGCTGCGAGTTATTCCGAGAGTTTTCCAAAAATAAACCTATTATATAATAATACACTAGTAACTATTAAGCTTTTTAACTTTTCAAGTCTATGTAATAGTTGAACAGGAATTAAGACAATACATGTAATAGTTCCTATGTTTCTCCAATTTGATTACATTATCAGAAGAACTATTATTAGCCAAAGTTCCAGCAGTATGTATATTCAGTTAGCGTGAAACCAATTTGATTCCATAGGCTAGAGCTACATGTTTAAAGAGGTTCAATCGAATCTCAATTCGTCAAAAATTAAACGGTGCAGATAGGGTAAATAAGTTTTTTTTTTTTTTTTGTATATATTGTTAGTATCGGAATAATCAGGTGTCATGCGAAATCCAGTCAAAGTAAACCTTAAACAATGATAAATAACACAATAAAAGAGAAATATACCAAAAGAGACACAAATATTTAACTTGGTTCGGTCAATTGTCATACGTCCATAGAGGGAGATGAGCAATCCATTACATAAAAAAAGTACAAAATATCGAGAAAATAACATCACAAATAAGCAAACACAAGTGGCATGCTAACATATGTCCCGAAATTCTCCCCCTAAACAAGACTCTCAAACCTCATATGGCTACATTGTAGATGCTACTGAATGAAAAGGAAAAATTCTTTAAGTTATAGAAGTCTAAACTTTTTCCTCTAACGAAATAGAACTAGCCAAATATAAAAGACGAAAAAAAATCAATTATGGTAAATGTATTGTCCTTTCTTCAAGAAATAGGAAAACCAAATATAGCGGCAAAAGTGATTCAAAAATTGCTTTAAGTTGCAAGTATAATTCACGTATTAGAAAAGTTTATACTAGTTTTGTAAATTTCCTTATTAAAATTCCTACTCTGCCAACGTAAGAAGTTCTTCATCATGTTGTGTGTGGTTCAAGTTTGGAAGAATGATTGAATTTTGTAACAGTTTATAGAGCTAAAATGTGTGAAAATCAAGAAAAAGGAGGGAGTAATAGAAGTAGTATTTTTTTTTCTTTCTCTTCAATTCAGCTGCTGTACTTGGAGCTACTTTCTTGCTTTATTATATTCCATTACAAGTAAAGGAGATTCTAGGATGATGCATTAGATCAAAAAGTCACTTAAATTAAAGTATTCTTGAAATCAATAATTATTGTGCTAGAGGACCCCATCCTCATAAGAGGAGATCTATCAAAAATAAAAATAAAAATCCAAAAGAAAGAAGAATATGGCCTCAGGAATCCAAAAAAGTGAAAGGAAAGGAACTAGTCACTATCCCAACAAAGAATAATTCATATCTATCCCCAGCTGTTTTACCTTTGTAACATAATTGTTTTCTCAAAATGACACAAGTATTATGTCATTCTTACCTATCTTAATCTAAGTTTAGATCTTATAAAACAAAGCCGTTGCACTCGTATTGGATCCTTTAAAAAATGCATTAGTTTAGGAGAATTTGACACACACCGTTATTTTTGGAGGATCCGAGTCACACGGATCTTCTGGGTAGTAAGATTTTCTTCCTTTTTACAAACTTTTTTTATTTGAACGGTACTGTCTAGACCATATATGCTTGGAAGTTTAAATAATGGATCATAATTGACAGTAAAATGCACATGCATTATTGCCTGTTACTAAATGAAGTGAATGATTGTGCTCTTAATTTCTTCTATTGGCCAAGCAAAATGTGTTAATCATAGGAACAGACTGGTCAAGTTTAGCTAAAATTCCTTCTTTTCTCATTAATCATGATGACTAATAGCATGATTAAGATTCCTTGATTCCTATAGTGAAATTAAACCTTTGGTGAGACCACTATTTCAAATTAAGTATCGAATGATCAACTTTCTGCAACTATTACAACTTATTAAAATATGGATGGAATATTTAGATCATTTATTTTTTGAAGGATAGAATCATAGAAAG